ATCACGCTATACAATTCAACAAAAATAGAAGTCGACATGGTAGAACAGCTCAGTGCCAACTACAACTCTTTAAGAAGCACAAAGCGTTGGCCAATGGTTATATTCTATATCTGGCGTTAACTTAATGGTCATCTTCAATGCAAACGATAACAATGAGAAACAAGTGAAACGACGTGATTTTCTAAGAAACCTTCCAAACAATCTTATACACTGATCGGCAAAAAAGTGGCCACGAATTCACGAAGCATGTTTTGAAGTTCTGCAAGTCTTTCTGGCTGATCTGGATGACTTACAACCCTACGATGAAGTTCACCCCAAAGATGTTCGATGATATTCAGATTATGCATTATCATGCATAAAGACGAAATTGCCCCCAATAAAAGAACCAAATGAAACTACTGCTTCTGTCAAAACATCCTCTATATACCAGTGAGCATTCTGGGGGCCATTGATGAAAATAAATTCAGTTCGAGCATCAAGTGAGATCTCAGCCCAAACCATGATACCACCACCGCCAAACTTTCTTCTCTGGGACATACAAGCTTGGACGTATCTTTCATTTCTCAGCCTCCAAACCCTCTCTGGGCTATCGCCAGACTTTAAACAGAATCACGATTAATCAGTAAAGAGGATTCAGCCCCAATCCATTATATCCCAGTGTTGATGTTGTCGAGAAAAAAATAATCGATTCCTACAGTGCCTGGGTTGTAATTCGGGAACAATAGCCTGCCTTCTTGTCACTAGCTCTCTTTTATTGAGGCGCCTTCTAACCGTTCTCTCACTTACATTCCCATTTTGAACCTCTTGCAGAAAGTTTCTTTAGCAATTACAGTGAAATGGCGATTTCTTAAGGGTTCCACATTAAAATGCTCCTCTCTTTGTGAGGTAACTCCTCTACGACCGGAATCATAAACGTCGAAATTGTCAAAAACAAACATACAAGATCGCAGAAAATATTTAATTTAAGATGCAATATGAAACAGTGCATAAAACTTTCAATTAATTTTTATTTTTGTAAATTTATAGGGTGGGCCACTTTTTTTGTCGTTCACTGTATAGCCCTATATAAAAATTCGGATTACTACTTACAAATTTACCAGTTAGCCTCAAATTCCGAATTCGCGAAATTTGTGACATCACAGATGTAACTCCTGTAATTCCAGAAAGAAATGAGACCAAGGTTGTGCATTTTGTACTACAAAAAAGATCAGGTGTACTCAGTGGCGGCTCGTGGCTTGAGAGACAAGGTCGGCAAGGTATTTTTTGTCTCCACAGATAGTTATACCGTCCAATAAAGACTTCAATCATCATAGGAGTTTTTTTGTTTTCTTGTTTTTTTGTTTTTTTTTTTTGTTTTTTCTTTTAAATTTAGAACCTAAACATGTTTTTAAATTAACTCTAGTCTACGTTGTTTGGAAGTAGCAAAATGGGTAATAACGTCATCGTAAAATTTATTAGAGTTTTGAAGAGATTTTAAAAGTTTTTTTTTCTATTGACATTTGAGACAAGCTTGACATTCTCTCTTGTTTCATGGTATTTCGACAATTATTTTTGATTCTTTTGAGGCAAGGGAAATCTCGTTCATTTGAGGCAGACGTTGGTGGTAATGAGAGAGAATTAATGACAATAATGTTGGATATAGATAAATAAATTTGAATATTTTCTAGCAGTGTCATTTAATGGCTACTTTACTAGTTGAATAATGTATCACTTTCCTTTTTTAGGGTAGTAGCAAAATTACAGTCATAGAGTAAACACGTGTTTCATTTTGTTCATCAAATTTCCATTTTTGTTCCAGAACTTTATAATTTCTCAATAAATAATTTATTAATTTCGGTAACTGTTTGTTGTAATGAATTGTAATATATAAAATTATACATATCTTGTAACTTATCCCATCTTCCGAAAATATTTGGATCAGCATATAAAACTTTTAATTCATTTTCTAATTTTATTTTATTAAAGAATGATGGATAATTTTTAATCAACCTGTCTAATAAATATCTTGGAAATTCTTTGGCGTAACTTTTAAATTTTGAATCGTCAAAGAGGTCAAAAATTTGCAAATCTTCAAAATTCGAAAAACGAGTATCTATTTGCATAATAATAGTATCCAAAATTTCAAAATATAGGTACTCATTTTTCGAGATCTGTTTCTTTGTCATGCCTTTGTCTTTTTTGGGGGGTTCGGAAATATCAAGCGAGTCCAAAACGTCACTGCGTATATACTGGAAATTACTATCATTACGAAAATCTGACTGAGATTTTGCACCAGTCATGTTATTCTATTTTTGGGATGAATAATGTCAGTTAACTGATTTTGAACAACATTGAATATCAAATCGGTTTGGGTAAACACTTTCTTAAAAATATTTAAAAGTATGTTAAAAGAGTAATCATTTAATAAAGTTTTCAAACCGATTGCTTTATGGATCGAGATATCATCACTTTCAAAATCGTCACATTCAATAATAAAATCAAAAACTTTCAAAAGCTGTTCACGAAAATCTGCTACAGTGAAAACTAACCGAGATTTAAAATTCCATCGCGTCTGACAAACTGTTGGCATTTTTTTCGAAACAAACCGTTCTAAAACATTGGTCCGTTTAGGCAAACTTGAGAAAAATAAAGCAAATCCGCTTAAACTGGCAAAAAAAGACGACATTCTTTAATTTTTTTACATGTATCTTGCAAAACTAAATTGATTATATGCGCATGACAATGAGTAAATAAAGCTTGCGGTGCAATAGTTTTAACTTTTGCCTGGAGACCATTTAATTCACCAGACATCACGGCAGCGTCGTTATAAGTTTGCCCTACCAATTTATTTTTGATATCAAAAAATTTTAATTTCTCCTTTAAAATACCAAAAATATGTTCTGCCTTATAGCTTTTACTCACGTCTGTAAAACCTAAAAACCTCTCATAGATATTACCACGTAACGCGTATCGAACAACAATTGACAATTGTCAATGACATGATATGTCGGTAGTTTCATCTACTTCTAGTGAAAAGCAAATGGTTTCCTGAATCTCAGATTCAATAACGTTACTGAAAATGTAACTAATTGATTCTTTTAATTAATTCTGGATTGTTTTAGATACACCGCTAAATGTCTTCGAATCAGAAAGTAAATTAGAAAATTCCAAATCGTATTTCTTAAACATTTTTATTAGTTCTCTATAATTACCTTGATTTATCGAATGCTCCGATTCATCGTGTCCCCTAAAAGATAATTCCTGACAACTTAAAAAAATTACAATATCAATTAAACGGCGTAAAACTGCGTGATTATTTTTTACAATTTCGTTATGTTTAATAGCATTTTCACGTGGGGCATTATCTAATGAAACATGGATATTTTGTTTTCCAAATAAATCTAATTTAATCTGGCTGTAAGTATGATCTTTCGAAATAACACTTTTATGTAAAGCCCTAAATAATTCCTTTAAATTATAGTAACCAGATTTACACCACGGATTTTGATGTTTGCCCCTATTTGTCGAAACTAAAATGCAAGGCCAACAAAAAAGTTTGTTTTTTTATTTCACTCCCAGTAAGCCATGAGTACTTGCTGTACCAATTATCTGAAAATGATCTATTACTTCCCTTACCCGCACTAATATTTATAAGTCGGGACATTTTAGGCAAAGGATGCCCCTTATTTTTAATAACAATTTGTTCTTCGTATGGAATTGATGAAAACCCATTATGCAAAATATAATTTACAATATCAGACTTATCAATACTTACAGTTTCTCCCATGGCTTGCATTTTTTAGGTGTTTACTGAATTTGTTTACACTTTAATTAAAAAAACTTCTAATATGTCAAAAAAACCCTTTAACCGTTAACTATTTACGGCAGACGTAACGTATCACAATATTACTTTAGAAAATAAAAATAAATCACAAAAAGATGGGCTAGTTCGTGCACTGAATATCACTTCAGTTTACTACATATATAAAAATGAAATAACATTTCGTCCCACGCTCGCAATGTACAGTTCGCGACCAATCACCAATCCAAATGAAACATCGGCAAATTTAAATCTGCCGGACTTCGTAATTAAGTTCATATGGAAAGAAATGTATATTTGGTTGCTAATCAACCAATATTCCGTTGATTTTTACAAGTAAAGTCAAGGTTGGGATCGGCTAGCCGAAAACACAAAACGTGCCTTTTCAAGAATTCATAGGCGGATGGATGTCTCCGATATCAGAACATTTATTTGAAAAGTGTCTACGCCAGGATCACTTAACGCTCAGATTGGACGAATTCTTTTAAAAACCATGAATAAAATTTAGTCTGGTCGAATTCTTTTAAAAACCATGAATAAAATTTAGTCTTTATTATCTCACAGATATTTTTTTAGTTCACAAAAACAAATGACATCAACTGATTACCTGCCACAATTATTTATTGAAATACTGATTAAATTAAATATTAAAATAATCTATAATATCTATAAAGATGTGGGTCGGCACTGCCGACCCTGACCGGCTGCCACTGGGTGTACTCGCTTTTCATAAAAATTCATTGAAGATATTCAAAGAATATGTCAGCTTTGCGAAGTGAAGCTACTCAATAAAATTTCTCAATTACTAAATGAAGTAAGTGCTATCATATAAGTAATATTTTATTTAAAAACCTGAGTTATTTTTGTTTTGTTAATGTGTATTACGTTTAACTCAAAATTAACTGTTTTCCATTTCAAAGGTTTTAAGAACTTTTGTTTATTTTACGTTTATTTTTATATTACAAATACCAATATTATTATATTAGCATTTTTCAATAAAACATTTTTAAAAATATTTTTCAGTCATTCCTAAACACAATAGAAAATATTTGTATAAATTTTATAGCGATAACTATTTTTTTTATTATCGGTCTTTGACACCGTAGCGATTCTCGATGATGAAATTAATAAGCTTCCCCTTTGTTTCCTAGACGAATTTTCCACAAAGAACAAAGTAGACTGATCATATTTTTCTCCCTAGGTAGAGCAAGACGGTGACGTCGGCATTCTTCACATCGTGGGGGCGAGCAATTCATCCGCGGGTTCCGTCGATCGATCGCCGCTTAGTAGTACTAGTACTAGCAGCGATATCGAATCGCCGTCGATTGCTATAGCAGCGCGGCGTAGCACGAATCTCGCGATTTCCGATCGAGAGTGCAATAGTGACAGTGGAGTATCTATGGAGGAGGCTGTGCAGCTCGAAGAGACGGCGCCGGTACTTCTCAGAGGACCCCAGGACACTACGGCCCTCGTTGGGGACCGAGTACTGCTCAAGGCCACGTACAGGGGGCATCCCGAACCGAGGGTACGATGGAGCAAAGCGGTGAGTAAAGTTTTTCACATTCAAGTTTGAAAATATGGTTTTATAACTTATTCTAGTACATTGTTTCTTGAAGCTGTTCTAAATCTTCTATTAAATTTAATAGTCATTGTAACTTAAAAATTTCCTTATACTTTTCTACTTTTATACTTTTCTATAAGGAGTATAAGGTATGAGTAAGCAAACGGATATTTTTTTAAATGTCTAAATATATTTGTATTTCTTGAACTAAAAAAATCATTAAACATCTCGATAGATTAATAGATAAATTGTTATAGATTCAAGATTTATTTGACTACGTTTACAAATTTTACCTTTGTTTGTAGCAAGTCAATTATATTACATATACATTGTATAAGTAAAAATATGATATATAACTTATAAGTATACAACATATATAACTAATATATAACACAAAAATACAATAGATGAAAATACATTAATGCGCATAAAAATAAAATAAAACATAAATTATACAAAATAAGACACATACCAACATATACAGTATTGTGCGAATTAATGGAATCATAGGCTGTTTTAATGAAAAAACAGTTTATTTAGTAAAAAATTTTATTTTGACAAAACTATAAAGGTAAACTTACATCATTCAGTAGGAAATATGTCCCCCTTTGGCAGCAATTACTGCTTTTACCCGTTTTGGCATAGATTCTCTGAGTTTCTGGCAGTTGTCAGATATCCTTTCATCTCGATATCAAACCTGAATGGCCGTTTCTATCATTTTTGTTTTAGTGGTACAGTCGATTTTTCGCAGTCTAGCCTTGCAAATGGCCCATAAATTTTCAATGGGGTTGAGGTCGGGCGAATTACCGGGCCCATCTAAAACATTAATCTTCTTATTTTTGAAAAATGCCATCATTTCCTTTGATTTGTGACAGGGAGCAGAGTCCTGTTGAAGAATTGCTCTTCCTTGGGGTTGACATTTTTGGAGTTGTTTGTCCAAATACTTTTCCAACGTGGATTTGTATTTTTGGCTGTTCATCATGCCTTCAATTGACACCAAAGATCCAACCCCCATGTATGAAAAACATCCCCAAAATATTTTTTTGACTGGATGTTTTACGGTTTGATCAATATGAGATGGTGTAAGCTTTTCATTGTCAGACTTCCTGACGAATTTCGACCGCTGTCCCTGAACTATAAAGTGGGTTTCATCTGTAAATAGGACTTTTTTCCAGTAGCCTACAGTCCAATTAGAGTATTTTGGCCCACAGTAGCCTTTGTTTCTTCATTCGTTCAGTTAGAAGCTGTTTTTTCTGTGGACGAATTGCCCTTCTACCATTCTCCAAAAGTCTACTACGAATAGTTGAGTCATGAATCACTATAGCTGATGCTGCTAGATCTTGTTGTAGGTCTTGGCTTGATTTTCTTGGGTCCAATTTGCTCTTTCGAAGTAAAAAATCTATCATCTGCTGGTGTTGTTTTTCTCTTTCTTCCACATTTTCCTAACCTTTTCACATCCACTGATCCCGTTTCTCGTTTACGCTTCAAAATTTTGTTTACTACCCCCTGACTCACTCCACACGTTCTAGCAATCTCTCTTTGTGACATACTAGTGTGTTCACTCAACGTGACAATCTTTTCGCGCTTCCTAGGCGTAATATCCATGTTGGAATAAAACCAAAAACAACACAAAATAGTACAAAAAACCCCCAGAACAACACAAGCTTGATAAGAAATGACCTAAAACACACTCAAACACACCAACACACTAAGGTTATGTTTTCAATGCTTGGTCAGCTGTCAACTGTGTAGGTAGTGTTGCCAACTGTGAATATTGAAAAAATGAAAAAAAATTCACATTGATTCCATTATTTCGCACAATACTGTACCAACATCCATGAGTGAGTACATCTATGTTCATGTTACTGCCTTGAAGTGATCAAAATATTCAGTAACAGAGTAAAAGGCAAATCTCAAAAGGTATCTCTTCAGACTAACTTTAAATTTGTTCATTGAAAGTTGTTTTAAATCCTTAGGTAGGACATTATATATTTATATTGTAGTCAATTGAGTTTCTTGTGATTTACTCAAACGATACTTAACTGCTCTGATGATATTTGCACCTCTTGTGCTATAGTTATGTAAGTCAGAGTGTTTAATTAAAGTATCAGCGTTTTTATGTATTTCAACATTAAGGCTATATATCAATAAAGTTGGCAAGGGCATTATCTTATATTTAATAAATAACGGTTTTCAAGATTCCAGGCAGCTAACTTTTGCAATTATTCTTATTACTTTTTTTGCAATTTAAATATTGTTAGGGCATTGCAAGAGTTTTCCCACAGAATAACACCATAGCTTAAAAATGAATGGAAAAGAAAAAAGTACGTTATTTTCAAAGTATCAACCCTTGTAACAAGTTTTAATTGTGAGTAAAAATAATGTACTAGAAAGTTTACCTTTGAGATGGTCAATATGGCAAGTCAATGTGTTGTCAAATGTTATGCCCAACAATTTGACATTGTTTTTTTCAACACTCACATCGTAGGTAGACGAAAAAATTAAATTTTGAGTTTATCCTTGTTGCTTTGAGAAGGCAATAGGTCTGTAGTGGCAGACATTTGATTTTTCACCACCCTTATGAAGACGAATAATAATGTCTCTCTTTATTCACTCTGGAAATATACAATTTTCAAATGAATTATTAATTAGTGAGATCAGGACTTTCAACACATTTTTTGATCGATATAAAAAAATTTTTATGGAAAGTCCATCAGTATTACCGGAAGATTTGCTCTAAATACTACTTATTGTTTGAATCAGTTCAGATTTATCAACTGGTCTTATAAAGAATGAGTTCGAGACCTCTTTTGAATTGGGGAGATAGAAAATAGGATCTTGTTGTGGCAAAATAGTTGATGTTTTATTTTTACTTACATTAACGAAGTATTCATTGATTTTCAGGGTTTGGAAGAGACAATGTTTGTTTGAGCTATGCAACTTTCTTTTACAGCATTTTTAGAGCTTCCCAGACGGTTTTGATAGTACATTTTTTTAGCTGTTTTGATAAGTTTTAGATAGGTTCCTGTGTACTTGGGGTATATTCAGTGACAAAGACGTTGGTAGTAAATTTCTTGATGTAGAGTAGTTAACGCATATTCTTGGCTGACACGCTGATACCTGGGGTAGTCCAGGGTTTGTGATGTTTTGACTTTATTGTAATTAAAGGAAATACCTTATTGAAGATACACACAAGCATATCTAAAAAATCACTAAAATTATAGTCCACGTCCACACAAGAAAAGTGCCACCCACAATTGAAAAGTGAAAAATCTTCTGTGAAAAGTTTAAAATCTCTATATCCTAAATTTAATTTTTTTTGTTGGTTTTTGATGTTTTAAAATGTTCTCCTTATGATATAATAAACATTATATCTGTTACCATTTTTGTAAGTTAGTAAAGTCTCTATGACAGGCACCTTAGCGTAACGTGAAAAGTATCTCGATCTAACTCCTTATTTTTAATTCATGTTTAGCTGGCTAACCCCTTGAATGCGGAAAATTTTTATATTTAATATTGCAGCAAACAATACAGTGACTCCTAATTTATCGTGGCTAAATAAATCAAGCAATGCAGTCATTAAAAACAATACTTTTTCTTGTCTGAGTAATATTAAATTCTTTGCTTTCTCATTGTATCAAAACATGACGCAAAATGTGAATATCTAGTTACAAATGTATTAACAAAACACACCGAAAGTCATTTAACGACATATTTAAGAAGTGTATAATATAAGGTATGCGCAAAATTATTTGCAAATGAATGTTCCCAACGATCGAGTTTAAAAAAGAATTTAGACAGTTATGGTATTAATAAGTATCATTTTACGTCTTTTAAACATATTTATGAAGTTAAAAGACTAACATAAAGAATTTTACAGCCAATATTTTTATTGGTTTCTTTCCGTATAGGTAGCACGTCCCATCTATTGCGGTTTCATTGTTCTGATAATTTCTCTATACATCTGTGGAATGATACATCAGAAATAGAGACAATTTTTCACGCTCTTTTTAATACTACAACTAGGTAAGTTCTGTGTCATTCTATACATGAGACTCCAATTACACAGTAGTGGCTATGTCATAAGTCCGAAAAAAAATTAGTGCAGCTGGCAACGCCAAAAATTTCTGCTGCAGCAAGTGTTTAATTTGACATGCCTAATTGTGCGCCCGGGTAACTCGTGTTATCCGTTGCCTCTTCCGGATATTCTACCGGATACCTATTTGTGCAGTTGTTCATAGCATACGTTGTGAGTGTCATTCTTGCTTTATTTTTCGTGATATTTTGTGAAGCAAAAGTAAAAAACGATTTTATTCATTTACCTAAAAATTCTAATAGAATCCAGGTTTGTAAAATCATGTTTATCAATACCTTGGGAATTCGATAAGGAATTGTAGACAGAAAAAGAAAACTGAAGAAAACACTACTTTTTATACTATTTGGTAGACAATTGGGGAAAACGATTAAAAAAGATCACGTCACCTGCTATCCTGGCAAGTGTAAGAAACCATATTGAGAAGTTCCCTGTAGTCAATTCCCATTATTGCCGTTCAAAAGACCTTAACACCACTCTTTTGTATTTATTATACAAGAAAAAATGAAGTGAGAACAATCAAACACTAGCTAATTCTGCCATTTATAGTAAGTTATTTGCAGAGGAATATAACCTTGGCTTCTACCGACCTCGTAAAGACCAGTGTCGGGTTTGTATGGCCTACAACTCCTCTTAAGCGATAAAGCATCTATGGAAACCGAATATCTCGTTCATATAGCAGCCAAGAACAGAACCCATCATAAAAAGATAATAAGTATACAGTTGGCGGGAAATTCTAACGGTACACTTATAAGTTACAATTTTCATCTTCAACAAGTGCTTTTGGTACCAAATGACCCAATAAATAACGCTTTATTTTACAAGCAAAGATTAAAAGTATTTAACTTCACCATTTTTAATACAGTCTCTAAACAGGGTGATTGCTTCA